CATTACATTCATTTACGTGCTAATACCTTGAGAAACGTATGAATCTTTTTCTTCTCACCCCCCAGCTATGGGTAAATAGCAGGACAGACTGGGTTCTATAGCCTTGAATTGCAACTGGTCTACCGTAGAAAGAAATGGTAACCTTCTGCGGAAAAAAATATGCTTCGTCAGTTATGTATGTAAACATTCATGATCGCCTAAGCGTGTATCACGAATGGGACATAACTGACTAACTGAAGGAGACATACGTTTCCCAAGCATCTTTCTAACTTTGAGATTTCATATAATTTATTATCTGTCGGCATACATTCTATTTCTTTCAACTATTTTCCTTTCACCATTTCATCTTCTGTTATGCATCGTTTCCCTTCAGGACCTCGGCTATGATGAGTCTCCATAACCTTCTGTTCTGCCATCCATTCATTGTGGGGTTTATTCGATGTTACCTTTTGCAAATCTTGATTTCACTACGTCCTATAAATGCCAATTATCCAAGACGTCTTTTCCTCATAATATGCCCGTAAATTTTCATTTTCATTTTCTGATTCTATATACGAATGTTTTTTGTGTTTCTAGTTTCATTGAAAATATCCCAATGCTTAACTGTTCTATGAATATTATTGCTTGTATTCTTCTGAAAGTCCATCTTTCTTGCCTGAAATCTACATTATCTCTGCAAGTACCATAATTCCCCACGTAAAATAATAAATGTATGAATCATCTTCTTCTCAGCCCCCACCTCAGCGATGGGTAAATAGCAGGAGAGACCAGATTCTAAAACCTTGGATGGCAACTGGTCGACCGCAGAAAGAAATCGCAACCTATTGCAGGAAAAAAATCTGCTACGTCAGTCGTGTATCGAAAGATACATGATAGCCTAAGTCTGTATCACGCATGGCACATAACTGACTGACTGACGATCAACTCCCAGTCGGGAATCGAATTTTGTTTTCCTTCTATTTGATAAACACTATGTATTCTGTATTTAAGATGCAATGAAATTTAGGGCCAATAGTCAGTTTCACTTTCATTTTCTCCATTGACCTGCGTCAGAAATTCTACTTTCATTTTCATTTCACTCTCAGTTTTTAAAATTGTACTGTTTTCTTTCTGGAACATATTCTTGAAATACTCTTCTTCTCCCACCAGGCAAATAGCAAGAGAGATTGCGTTCTATAGTCTTGGATGACAACTGGTCTACCGCAGAAAGAAATGGCAACCTACTGAGAGAAAAAAATCTGCCTCGTCAGACCTGTAAGACAAGTTACGTGATCGTCTAAGCGTTCATCACGCATGGTATATAACTGACTGAATAGACAAGGTTTTTTTGGACATTAATTTGCAGGAAGAAGGGTTAAGGATTGTTCGTTTTGAGAACGTGTTCTTGAGAAAACATTTTCAAAAGAAATGAATTTCAAAAATGTACAAATTTTAAATAGATGTAATTTCTGAAGAAGTAATGGATTTTTTCTTTATTATCACTTTAAAGGGTTTTTTTTATTTTTTTTACTGGATACTTGAATAATAGAGAAATATTTTTAAAGAAAAATATGCTCTCTCTGACAGGATTCGAACCTGCGTGCCTGAAACATTCGGCCATATTATATCGACGACCAACTCCTTGGCCGATTGGGTTTAAAGTAAGTCGGATCTAACGATTGTTTCTCTTGAAACGGGGATGCAGCTATGAATACTGCCATAAAGCGTATGTTTTTCTTTAAAAACTCTCCGATATACACTTCTTCCTTTATATATTTCACTAGCAGCATGGCCCGGCGTTGCCCGTACTGGATTCAAAAATAATACGACTAATACAGCAATCGCTATCACTTGACTTAAAATATTTTTGCCCTTCCTTGCCTTTAGAGGAGTGCCCTTTGACGTGCTGATGTTGTTACATGCCTTACTTCTTGCCTATCTCATACTGCCAACTTTTTCTAAGCTCTATAGTAAACATTAAATCTGTTACGAAAAAAGAACTAAACAAAATAAATACAATACGATCAGCTTTAAAAAACCGGAAAAAACATTTTCAAGTGTTGACCGATTGTCGATTTGCACTCTGTTTGGCGGGTGGGGGGTGCTCAGAGTTGAAACTTCACATGATGACTCCCAATGGCCTCTTCATAAATCCGCTCGGTTTTCGCTAAAAACCGACATGCGGTTCAGACGCAATCTGGGCGTATCGGTTTTGGGGTTTTATCGATTTTCCGCGCTGTTTAGGGGTCCGTGGTCATGAAACTTCTGGACAACACTTTTAATGGTTGGACTCTTAGAGGGGGTCAAATTTGGTTAAAATGCGATCATTCCTTCTGTAAGCAGAATTTTTTCGATTATCGATTTTTTCGGAACCTGATTCCGAACTCAAAAATCGGGCTTCGTCATGTCCTTACGGCAGCCATTTGCAACCTTGTGTTGAAAACCGCATCGAAATCGGGTGAGAAATGCGGCCTGGGCGAGGTAACAACGCCCACGACAGACACGCAGACAGACAACATGAGATAGATAGATAGATAGATAGATAGATAGATAGATAGATAGATAGATAGATAGATAGATAGATTTTCTCGCTAAAGCCACGTAGTGTCTTTCCTTCTTTTTTCTTCGCGATCAAAACGAATAGTTCATTATCTATAAGTTAATGGCTGGACATAAGGGTCGTGCGAACTAACGATAGGAGTGACGAGCATAATTATAATAGGATAATACTCAATATTACTTCAGAATTAAAAGTGTAAATAGTTGGAATGAACTGAAGAAAATGTGAGCCTAGGGAAAGTTAATGAATTCAAATTTATCTTAGAAAAGAAAATCCTTTTTTCTTGTGGATTATTAACGATATATTTCTATTTATAACAAATTGTTATAAAATACAACCCCATCTGTAGCCTAACGATGAATCAATCTATCAACTGATTGGAGTTCAAATGCTACTTCTTAATTTTGTCCGGAATAAAAAGAGGTGGCGGAATATAAATTGTAAATTTGATGGTCACCCTGGATTTAATCTATAGCTGCATTGCCTGTGAAATGGTTTCATGCCTTTCGCAACGTAGCACTGCTAAAATAAGAGCAACTTAATGTGACACTTGAAATTGTTTCGCCTATTCAGGTTTCTGGGCCGAAAACCGGTGTGTTATCCTTCCTCTCTATATATACATATTATCTATCTATACCCCCCGTCTCTCTCTCTCTCTCTCTCCTTATATATATATATATATATATATATATATATATATATATATATATATATATATATATATATATATATTATATTATTCTCCATATTTATTACAACGTTTCTTTTTTTTTTAGGTGGTTGGAATATCGAACTGAACCCTTTATTTCGCTCATAAATGGTTCAGTTCGACATTCCAACCACCTGAAGAAGGACGGAGCAGACATCGGCCGAAACGTTGCCGTAAATATGGCGACAGAGATGAGGACAGTTGTCCGAATAATGTAAATAGTGTACATAATACATCATCTCGGAAATATGGACACACACACACACACATACATATATATATATATATATATATATATATATATATATATATATATATATATATATATATATATAGTCGATTCTCCAGTGGTATTCGACGTATGAGGGGTCAAGCAGCTCAGTTCTTAGGAACCGGCAGACAAGGCACCAGCATATATAAATTGCTACTGTATTTGACTTATCTCCCTAATTTAAATTTTTAACTACTGACTTTTATCTTCGGTGGAACGCGTTTGCCAATGTTCATCATGATCTCGTTTTTTCCCGCATGCGACATTTGGAGGATATTTCCTAAAATTGTTTCACGAGACTGACGATTTCCTCTTTACTTTGCCACGTAAGATATCATTATATATATTGTAATAAATTTAATTTTGTTCACAGGAATAAAGCAAACTTTTTTGATGGCCACGAACACTGTTTTCCCCTTGTGTAATTTCACCGAATGCTCGTTGTCATTTTCGTAATGCTCGTTGTAGTAGAGACTTTGTAATCGCAGATACAACTAGAGTAACGCCGTTCAACAATGCTGGTGCCAGACGCCTTCGAATAACACTCCCACTTATAGTACTTTCTCAATAAAACTCGCTGAAATAGTAATCACCGAATAGTGATCTGAATAGTAATCCGTATAGTGATCAGTATAGAGAATAGTGTAGAGAAGAGATTCACGAAACATGTTTAATATAGGATAGAGTAGAAATAGTGATCAACTAAATGTCACGGTAATTCTCATATATATATATATATATATATATATATATATATATATATATATATATATATATATTCTTTAAAATCAGGTGATCTACTTAGTCAAAATGCGTTCACCTGTGTTAGCTTTTTTGCGATCTATGATCAAACTATAGTATCAGCAGAGACACTTTCCTCCTATGCAACCCTAACCAAGCCGTAAATAACATTTTAAAGTTAAATGGAGCGTTAATATAGACAGATTCTTGTCTTCTCTTTATGCGTTAATGAATACTATTTAATTTATCCAACAACAAAAATTTATATTTCGGATATATTCTAATGTAAGTTTTTTTTAATTAATTCGAAGAAGATGAATTTTTATTACCTAAAATAACCGTTTATTTACTTCTGGACTGTGTTAAATAAATATCAGACAGTCATGGGTATGTGGTTTCAGGTCTCTCTCTAAACATTCGATCATCTTTTTGTGAGTTTTCTAGAGGAATCTCCTTTCTCCGTCCCTAAGAATGGCGCTTATATAACTTCTTGATATCATGTCGTCTTGTCTGCGCATATTAGACATTCAGCTGAGTCCACCTCCTTTATCGGTTGATGCACACAACGATTTTTTTTTTGAGACCTCATTCCACACTTGGCGGCTTTGGAGCCACTTTGTACGTCAACCTTCGAATAACCTAAGTCTTTTGACTTTCTGAGTTGACAAAAAAACGCTTAACTTAATTTGTTCTTTCTTAAAGTTAACCCAGTACATAGTCGGATCAACTCATTTGCGAGCATGTTCATCTGGTTTGAAACCTCTGGTATTTCGTGGCTTGAATAATATCTAACAATGCACACAAAACTGACATTAACGCTAGCAGTAACATAAATGTGGGCTCAAATATCCTAAATAAAAATGTATATATAAATAAATATAATTTTATTTACAGACGTAAAACATTATTATTTTGACAATAGCTCTAATAAAAATATGAATAGACTTGGAATCAAATATGCAAGGGAAACAAATGTGTTAATAAAGGGATATCTAGTTTATTTAAGAAAGTACACCCTTGTGCAAAATAATTGAAAAAACCGTTTTAGTTTCCATTCTTTCACCATAAGATCAGTTTTAGACACACTGGAGTGACAGGATGTAATCGATTTCTATCTTTTTCCTTAGATTACGACATTTGCAGTGGTATGCAGTAATATGAATCCATTTTCAGGGTGTATGATGAAATTTGTTTGGCCTTGAAAAATATTTCGTCGTCCGTGAGTGCATCAGATTTTCATTACACCCAAACACTCTTGTCTCGACTGTCGATTATTTGTTCTACTGCCATGGGTGTTACTCCAAGGAAGCGAACTAAAATTGTAACCCTGCAGGAACACAAGGGCAAACCTTACCAGTGAGCAAATCAAAGTACTATCGACTGGCTTGGAAACTCTCCTGATCTAAATCCAATCGAGAATCTGTAGTCAATCTGCAAGGAACGACTTCGTGGAATGGACATACAAAGTAATATGTATAGTGGGTCATAAATAATATCGGAATTATTCATTTTGTTTCAATTAATTTGAACAACGGTGTAAATCATAAGTTGATTGTATAGAAATGACCTAATGTAACACTTACAAAAACATACTCACCATTCTCCAAGGGTTCAAATTTCCAAGGTAGCAATGAATGCGTTAATAAATTAAAATTTATTTATCATTATTAAAGTCGATCATTCCGACAAATTAATATTGGAAGTTTCTCTCGAAAACGACCTCCGATTTGTTATCTTTTAATCATCAAAGAGAACCAATTTTCCTCTCCATCATCATGGCTGATGCTAACCTCCAGGAGAGCAACTCGTTACGCCGTTTTGGTTTCACGTTTTCTACTGACCTCAAATGGAGCAATTTTATCGAACCAATTGCTACGTTTACTCCTAAGAATGTCGGTTCACTCCATCGAGGCAGACAATTTTTTTCACATCGTAATCCATTTTATTCATTTTTAAATCTACCATTCGTCCGTGCATTGTATATTGCTACTATATCTGGTTCGATGCTCCGTCTATATATCTTGGGATTTTCGATTAAGCACAAATAGGGTGTGTAATGTCATCAACTCTGACTGAGTAGACGCGAAAGAGCTATGTTATTTAACATACGAGACGAGGAATGAAACACGAGAATTAGGCGAGATTTGGATGATAAAAAGGGAAAGAACCAAAGAGAAATCACATTAAAAAAAACGTTCTTTTTGTTGTTTTGTTTTTTAAGTGGGAAGGCGGATTTATCTGGGAAGGTATACAGAAAGACGAAGATTAGTGACTGAAAAAAAAAGATGCCTGAGAAACAGGGTAAATATGCGAATATATAATTACGAAAATGGAAGAAAAAGAACATAGATCAAAAGGCGGGAAATCTCTTGACGAAAAAAAAAAAAAAACATAAAGTGGCTAGCCTTTTTATTCCCGCTCTTTGTAATGTAATAGTCTATTGTACCAAGTTCCCTTGAATGAGTGCATATAAAACACGTATTAGTTATTCATAATCTCTCTTTGCCTCTCTTTCACCATCTTCCTCTGATTCACTATTTCTAACTCTCTTTCTCTCACTCATACAATTTTACTCCCTGCTTCTAGCCCTCTCTCTCTCCATCCATCTATCTATCTATCTATCTATCTATCTATCTATCTATCTATCTATCTATCTATCTCTTGCTATATCTTTTTCTCGCTTTCTTCCTCTTTTTTCTCTATATATCACTCTCTTCTCTTTCTTTCTATATCTCTTTTTTCTCCGTTTTACACCCTCTCTCTCATTATCTTTTCAGGGCTCTCCCTTTCATTTCTCATCTTCTCTTTCTCTCCCTCTTTACCCTCTCCATCTCTCTCCATCTCTCTCTCTATCTCTCTCTCTATCTATCTCTTGCTATATCTTTTTCTCTCTTTCTTCCTCTGTTTTCTCTCTATATATCACTCTCTTCTCTTTCTTTCTATATCTCTTTTTCTCTCCGTTTTACTCCCTATCTCTCATTATCTTTTTCAGGGCTCTCCCCTTTCATTTCTCATCTTCTCTTTCTCTCCCTCTTTACCTCTCCATCTCTCTCTCTCTCTCTCTATCTCTCTCTCTATCTATCTCTTGCTATATCTTTTTCTCTCTTTCTTCCTCTGTTTCTCTATATATATCACTCTCTTCTCTTTCTTTCTATATCTCTTTTTCTCTCCGTTTTACTCCCTATCTCTCATTATTTGTCTCGCTCTTTTTCAGGGCTCTCCCTTTTCATTTCTCATCTTCTCTTTCTCTACCTATTTACCTCTCCATCTCTCTCTCACACTCTCTCTCTATCTCTCTGATTATCTATGTCCATTTCTGTTTACCTCATATTCTCTTTCATGCTCTCTGTTTCTATCTGTGTTTTTTTTTTATCAGTTTTTCTCCGTTTTTTTCTCTCATTTTTATTCAGCCTGCCTAGATCTTTATCCATATTCTTTTCTCTCTTTTTTTCTTTCATTCCTCTCTCTATCTCTCCATGTATTTTTTCCTTCTCTCTTATTCTTACATTCTCTCTATTCTTCTCTATTTACATCTATGTTTTCTCTCTCCCTGTTCCCACATGTTATCCCTCCCTCTCGCTATCTGCTTTTCTCTTTTTCTTTTCTTTCTATTCTACTCGCTCTCTTCATACCTTCATCTTTTTTCTCACTCTACATTTTGCTGTTTATTTAAGATGAGCCCGAGCGCAACTTGCAACATTGAGTCCCATAATTCTAATTTGCTTTATATTTTCGAAGATATTATTTTTCTTTACGTGTTAAATATTCTTAAATATATAAACATATAAAAGTGGCAATAGAAACATTAGGGGGGAAAAACCTGTCTTCGTATGCTAATCACTACCTTTAGAACCAGATCAGGTCGAAATTCGAGTACTGTTGTCATATTTTGGCGGTAGCTGCCCAGGTCCCACCATCCAGTTCAAATGCGTCTACGAATTCTTTGGGGCGGAGTGGGGGTGACGAATTATTTTCCATCCTCCAGCCTATCTCTCTCATGGTCGGGATTTCAAAAGCCTCTCGCTGCCTTATCGCTACTCACATGTGCTCGACCGAATTACATTCCTTGGTTTCGGCAGTTCTAAACTTCACTGCAAGGACCCGTTTTTCACCGGACCCCCACCAAAAAATGGTTCCAACCGTGGAAAAATTAAATAAAAATGTACTAAAAACATTCGTTGCGGCCATGAAGAATGCGTCCAAGCATTAAAGAAACAGTCACCACCTGGTGTTGACCTCTGTGTCCAATTTTATATTTATGACAGTACTATTCCTTATAATGAGTATTGTTGCCCATATATGTAACATGACTTACAACCATATTTGTCTCATGTATATACCGGATGTAACAACAAATGATCCACATCATGTATCAGCAGACTTGTCCATCACACATAATGTTTAATATCTAAACACTACTAAACTAAATGATTTTTTTCTCCAGGTTTTTAGATAACACATTTAGCCACCATGACACGATTTGTCGGAGGAAACACTGAAAAAATCATTTATTTATCTAGTTATTCAGCTAGAAAGAGAACAGGGGAAAATCGTTTTGTGGCAGCACCCCTATCTTCCAAATGAGCAACGGTGAGAGGAAAAAGATCATTCAAGCTTTCAGTAATGGAACGAACATTAATACACTGGTTTCTTTCTTCAAAGTCCATTCAAGAACCATCAGGAGAACTGTGAATATGTTTTAAAAAGAGGCCAAAATAAAGAGGATATCTGGATAAGGAAGTCACAAAGGGATTATCATTTCAACTTAGCGTTAAAGAGATCAATTAAAAAAAGACCCAACTCAATTCACATGGCGTTTTGCACGTGAAAGAGGAGTTTCAGTTATGACAGTCCAAAAAGCATTGAAAAAAATACTTGAAAATTTAATCGTATGTGAAATCTATGAGTCAACTTGTAACTCCAGGACAGAAAGTCAGACGGTAAGAGAGGATGAAGATCATCTTGAATACGTTGGAAAATGACCCTGGAATAATACATATATATATGAACCTAATTTCAATCCTTCATGAGCTTCTGATCCTTTGCTATGTTTAATAAATGACGAACGGGTTATTTTCGTTAATGATCGACTTCCTCACGATTCTTCTGTTAATCTTGGTGAGAAATTATACATTCTTGTTGCTAAAGGTAGAGTTCAAAAGTGTTATGAAAAAAAAACAAAAAAAAAAAAAAACTCGGAGAATTCCAGTAACATAACTTTAATCATTTCTGCGTTTCAGAGTTTAATCTAACAAATGGACAATTTTGCTTTATTCACAAGATTTGGATAAATTTGCTGTTACAACCTGTATATATATATATATATATATATATATATATATATATATATATATAGTGTGTCCATAAAGTTGGTGTGCCCATTAAATAATTTATAACTTCAAAGTGCACACGAACTTTATTGACACTATATATATATATATATATATATATATATATATATATATATATATATATATATATATATATAATTAAAGTAATGTATATTTTTTAAATATATATTTTTTTTAAAGTTACCTTCTTCCAGCTTTTTGCTAAAGAGCAGGATCTACAAGGGTTTGGATTCAGAGCTTCATTCTCCTACACATGATGCCGCCCAATGCTATTGGTTCTAGTCTGACCTGCTATTTTACCCATAGCTGGGGTAAATGGTTCATTAAGCAAAATGTTCAGACTTTCTGGTTATGCATTACACTGGGGAAGCTGAAGAACATTGGAAAGCGTATGTAACGAACCTGACCAGATTTCGAACACGGGTCACCGATTTCTCTATCCCGGGTTCACATGTATCAAAATAAGAACTTTCGAAACAGAGTCGGTCTGATTGACATTCAACGCAAATTAAGAATGAGATCAAAGTGACGAAATGAATACGTGTTTTGGGAATCTTGTGGCCGATGGAAGACAAATTTGAAAAGGCGACGGTTTCTTCAATAAGCCGATATCTGTTCATAGATCTCGGAAATATTAGTCTTATCTCGATTTTCTAAAATAACCGTGTGAGAAAACGGATAAAGAGACAGGAGAACCATCTAAGAGATTTTTATTTATTTTTTTACAGTGAGATTCACTCTGTACAATTCCGTTGTAATTTTCTTCAAAACAGAAGAAAATTAGGAAGGCTAGATTTAGAGCGAGTCGGGCAAACAAAGAAGAGTTTTATTAAATACTCATACAGAGAACGGAAAATAGTGATTAAATCATCTACTGCTCAAATTTATAATTATTTATATATTATATATAAAATGTAGCAGAAAGCCAAAATCATATTCTGTCTTAATATTAAACTTAACTAATCAATGACCCAAACATAGCACAATATTCCTAACAAAAAAAAATCCTTTCTTCTAACGAGTCTTATTACAACCTCAATGATACAACCATGTCTCTATGGAATTTAAAAATCTAAACCACAGCAATACCTCCATGTCACTATGGAAGTTAAAAATCAAAATCCCAATAATACCTACATGTCGCTATGGAATTTAAAAATCTCAACCCCAATAATACCTCCATGTCTCTATTGAATTTAAAAATTAAAACATCAATAATACCTCGATGTAACTATGGACGTTAAAAATCAAAATCCCAGTAATACCTCCATGTCTCTATGGGCTATAAAAATCTAAACTCCAATAATAACTCCATGTCTCTATAGAATATAAAAATCTAAACGCCAATAATACCTCCATGTCTCTATGGAATTTAAAAATCTAAACCACAGCAATACCTCCATGTCACTATGGAAGTTAAAAATCAAAATACCAGTAATACCTCCATGTCTCTATGGAATATACAAATCTAAACACCAATAATACCCCCGTGTCTCTATGGAATTTAAAAATCTCAACCCCAGTAATACCTCCATGTCTCTATGGAAGTTAAAAATCAAAATCCCAGTATGACCTCCATGTCTCTATGGAATATAAAAATCTAAACGCCAATAATACCTCCATGTCTCTATGGAATTTAAAAATCGAAACCCTTATAATACCTCAATGAATCTATGGAATTTCAAAATCTAAACCCGAATAAAATCTCCATGTCTCTATGGAATCCTAACTAGTTCTCACATGTACAATTCTCGTTTGGAGGGGAAAACAACATTTTAAAAATCAAAACCCAAATATGTATTTACAATATGAATAAAAATCTATTTACAAGAGACTAAGTAAAATAGTAATCGTAATAACTCCCCACCTAATAATTAAATGTGGCAGAAACATCAGTTAACTGGACGAAATCAATGCGGGATTTAATAATATAAAACACTCATTCGACTAAAAAACTCTCGCTCAAACACACACTCATTCATACACTAATACAAATACGAAATACACACACAAAATCAACAGACGTCTCGCATTCACCAAGAACTGACGGAGGATCTGATGGGGAATTAATGGGGAGAAACATAAAAGGGACCAATGTGTATACTTTCACTATGTAAATTAACTTAAAGATAGAAACTAAACGACTTATAAAAAGCCTAAACAAAACTACTTTGTGGTTTTGTGATTTTGAAATTTTTTAATATACTGATGGATGTTTGAACAGGGGATGGAATAGAGGTACTGAATGGGTAGGTTTGTCCATAGATGGTGATTTCGTCATGGGAGCCTTTAGAGTAGTCATTTAGGAAGGAGTGGGAGATAGAGATCTCACCACTGAAGGAGGAGCCATGATTGTTAATTGTGGATGGCGAAGGTGCCGAGGAAGAAAGGCTTTTCTTTTTGTGCATCTTTCAGCTGCTGTAATTTCTCGGCTTTGTCAAATGATAGTTCATATCTCCTTCTTTGTTGTCTAAGATGATCTGTGTATTTGTTCGGAAGATCTCCCGGTTAGAGGGAGTAGGATGTCTGTATCATTACCCGTATTGGCTTTTGTGGAACGAGATACCGCTGCACAAAGCTTCTCTCTAGCCTTGCCAACAACATCCCATTCCCACTTTTTCTTTGTCCGCAACCACAAAAGAAGCGGGAAAAGGCTTTTCGGGGAATGGTATCCGTGAGACGGACCCAACATGGGGTTTTACCACACCAGTCTCGGTCGCTGGCATGCCCAGTACAGGCGAGACCGAAATAACAGACTCAACCAACAGGAAGAGGGGAGGTGACTAGTCTCTCCGCACTTCCAGCAAGTTGGTCCACGGCCGGTTACGATAATAGGCATTTTCTGGGCATCTACATCTAGGCAGTTAGGGATGGAGACGATGTCCTTACGATCTATCATCAAGCTCCATCCCCAGGTGTGTTAGTCAGAGGAAGCACTATCTGTCCGAATTAGCACAGATATGAGATCAAGTGCTCACCGGTGATCTAAGGAGGGACGTCATATTCCGACACAGGGTCCTACGCCTGCCCTCATTAGCTGTTCTCAGAATAAGCTCTTTGGTTATTAAATTTCGACTGAGTAGGTCTTAGCAGGGAGCAGGCATGAGTAACAGTATTTTATGACTCTCTGTGGTTTAAACACCAGGGACGTCAACGACTTATAACGGTGTCTTTTGTGACGCGACAAATTTTGCGCAAAAGCTTGTCCACCACAAAGACTGACACAATTTATTTTTCGACCTTATGTAATGTATCGGGATAGATCAAAAGCCCACGTTATGTCTTGTCTTTCTCTAAGCACTCAGTAATGTTGATTATGCAT